CAAGTTTTTATAAACGAAAGTATACATCAATTAAATTAGTTATTGAACAAATATGCATCAATTAAAGATTTCGGTGTTAAACAAGAGAGACACCATGCAATATTTACTAAATATATACAATTAAATTGGTTAGCTGCAAAAAAGATTTTCATCAGGAGAAAGTTGTGAAACTAGAGAAACACAATACAAAAAAAGAGACGTGATTACTTAAGTATACACCGATTAAATTGTTTATTGTTAAGCTTCAAAAAAAAAAAATTTAAAATTTCATCAGGAGAAATTTAATTGTGAACAAAGAGAAACACCATACTAAAACAAATATGCTTCAATTAAAATTTTAGTTGCGAAACAAGAGAGACGCTATGCAATGTTTACTAATCTAGATTGCCAAGTTTTTATAAGTATGCACCAATTAAATTGGTTATTGATAAGCTCAAAAAAAATTATTTTTCATCAGGAGAAATCTAGTTGTGGAACAAGAGAAACAGGAAACTCCTTATTAAACACATGCTTCAATTAAATTTTAAGCTGTGAAACAAGAGAGATACCATGCAATATTTTACTAAACTAGTTTGCCAAGTTTTTATAAATATACACCAATTAAACTGGTTATTGATAAACTCAAAAATAAAAAAAAAATGATTTTTTATCAGGAGAAATCTAGTTGTGAAACAAGGGAAATGCCATACTAAACAAATATGCTTCAATTAATATTAGTTGTGAAAAACAAGAGAGACGCCATGTAATATTTACTAACTAAAATATGAACTTTAATTGTGAAACAAGAGAGACGCATGCAATATTTACTAAACTTGTCATAATTATGCGACCAATTAAATTAGTTATTAATAAATGAAAGGTATAGTAAATATGAATTTTTATTAGGAAAAATGCACCAATTAAATTAAATAGTTATTGATAAGTTCAGAACTAGTTGTAGATAGATGACCGGTTATACGTGTAATACCCATAGATTATTTAAAATACATAGTGAACTACAGCTAATAGGCAACTAATAACTTATTGTAAAACTGTAGGTTTGTTACTAGTTATTAGGGATGTGAACAATAATTTACAATTAATATTAATAAACTAAATAGTTTTACATAACAACAATTTATATTCTTTAACTGTAAGCTTAATTAGAGATCGCAAAAGTACATTTCACATATTATCACATAATTATATAGGTCATACGTAATCTGCATACAGTATAAAACGATAATTTGAAAATCGAACCGAAATTAGCATAATTCAGGCCGGATGATAAAAAAATATGGGATAGTAGATATTAACAAATGTATTGGCTTGAGAGTTACGGAATAGTATCAATACGAAATCAAAATTTCATTTTATCCGATTTCATTTTGATCCGTGACGTTAAATATGGTTTATATAGGAATTTCGATTAATTTTTTTAAATGGTCGCATATTTCTATTCGATTCGCATAAACCACAGAATTTGGGTCAGTCACAGCAGATAGTCGGTGACCTTAATACGTATGGGAAAGGATTTTAAAACATCATATAGACATGATACGGGATGTCTCTAACAATAATTTTACTAATCCAATCTCAAATTTTTTAATCACTGAATAACTCATTTTAAAGAAACATTACTAATATATCGAAATATAATTTTTATAATGAAATTAAATTCGAAATCTTATATTCCAATAAAATTATTAATATATACTGTATCTTTAACTATATTTAAGTGACAGTTATCTGTTTTCGGCCAAAGTTAAGTTTAATTTAGCTGAAACAATAACGTATTACTCATTTATACTAAAAACTACAAAGCATAATATTACTAATATTGAAGCATAACTAAGTAATAGATATTTCTTACTACGTAGATAAAGAATTCTTATAGCTGCATAAAGTCGATTATTCTTAATTACAATTGCATAATTCATAATTTCATAAATATTTCGACTACCTTAATCAATCTTGAAATAATATGTTAATAAACTGAAACTGCAATAGAGTTGCTAATATACTTAATATACTTTAGTATTATTACCAGTTACCTTAATCCTAAATTTCATTACTAAATCAACCAAATTTTTAAATATTTCAGATTCTACTTCTTGAAGATAATTTATTGTTATATTCAAATCAATAATATTTTTAAGAAAAGTTTCTAAGGAAATATTTTCTTGTTTTATAATTTCTTTTACAAGAACAACTAATTCATAGACTTTTCTCAAACGAGTTGTTTCAGTTTTTATTCCTTCTAATTGAAAGGACATTCTGATTAATTTATTAATTTTTTTATTTTTATCATCTGTAAATGTAAAGGTTAAACTTTCGATATATTCAGACAATTGATAAAATTGAATAAATATACTATAAACAGCAGCCCATTCCACATTGACTTTTTGTTGTTGCCGGCTTTTGTGTAATTCTGCATTGTATTCATACCATTCAACATTGTTATATGAACTCGATCTTATCAGTATAACTAGTGAGACAGTTGGAGGCAATAGTGGATATTCTTTATTTATGCGCTTTTTATAAAGGTCTGAATTTTTTTTTTGTCTAAGTCTTTTTGGTTTGATACTGTTTGTATTGCTTGTTATTTTCTCTAGAACCATTAAATTGGGTGTTTTTCTCAAGATCAAATAAATCAGATTCTTAAATTCGTCCGAATCTATTTCTTGAAGGTAATTAATCGATATATTCAAATTTTTAATAAGTTCAAGGAAAGCTTCTAGAAAAATATTTTCTTCTTTTATTATTCTTTTTACAAAAACAATGTTGTCATAAACCTTTCTCCAACGAGATGTTTCAGATCTTTCTATTCCCTCTATTAGAAACAACATTTGGATCAAACAATTAATTTTTCCTTCTTTATCTTGTTCAAAAACCCAAGTTGAATTTTTGATATGATCAGATAGCAAGTAAAATTGAAAAAAAAATACTGTAGACAGCTGTCCATTCTGAATTGACTTTTTGTTGTTGTCGAATTTTGTGTAAATTTGTATTGTATTTATTCCATTCTTCAGAATTATATAGACTCGATTTTATTGTTATAACTGGTGAAGAAGTAGGGAATAATGTTTGAATTTCATTTTTTATTCGCTGTTCATAAAGGAGTGTGTTTTTTCTTTGTATTGTGGGTTGGAGATTGTTTGTCATTTTTTTTTGGAAGAGATTAGATTTTTTGATACTATACAACATATGTACAATATTTATAGCTTCAATGCATTTTGATGATCATCGCAGTCCTGATTAGTAGATGGGATTGGTCAATGCACTCTGACGACCCTGATCCCCTGATCCTCGGATAGTAAATCCACTGGATTTACTATTAAATTTAGTGTTAGTTTCAATGGATAATTATTAACAACATTTCAAATAAAGATAATAATAAATCATTGAACACAAAATTTAATATAATGTTATAGTCATTAGAGTACATCTTAGAATGAAATGTCACAATTATTCACGATTTACCATTATAGATTAATTTATAACTAGACAATACAGTATAAATGAATGTTATTCTAATAGAAAAGAAGACAAAAAACCCCCGGTTTTGAAACTTCAATTTAAATTCAAATGTTTTAATTTGTTAAAAAGAATAAAGATTTTAGTTCTACTTGTTTTTAATTTTATATAGGCACTAACCTATCATAATCTTGATGCCCAAATCCATTACTTCTACTGATAACTACGTTTAAAAAGTCTTCTATAATTTGTATCAAAACTTTTATATTTCGTATTATAAACAAAGGTTCAGGTTGGTCAGTTCCATGTACAATTGGCTCATAAGGCTCAATGTACAAATATGAATAGTGAGATTTTTTGACACTATTAAATTGACCGTAAATCAATACAAGTTTGTAATATAGTTTCAACAGAAAGAGCAAATAAAAATCTGCTTACACATAAATAATTAAAAGTATTAAAAACTCTATAAAAAGAAGTACTGCCAGGATTACTGTCCAATTCCACCCGTCACAAATTTTACTGATTCTACAGTTCTTAGTTTTTTGTATATTATAGTTGATGTCTACACCAAATTTTTCAGAACTCACTGATTTTGTTTTATAGATTAAATGAGAAGGAGCTTTTGCCTTTCTTATACGTGTTCTATCTTTTTTCACTATCATTAGTCTTGTTTCTTTTCGTTCCTTTAGATATAATCGAATGATTTGCACTAAATTATTCTCTTTCATTTTAATAACCTAACTTTTAAATAATAGAAATTCTGAATAAATATGAGAAAAACGTAGCTTCTTTATATACTGTATTTCATTTAATCCTTTTAAATATAAAATTTATGTATATAATTTTATCGCATATAAATTTAAATTGAGTAACAGATCAGCATTATTAAAGTTTCAATATATTAAAAATTTATACATGTCGATGTTTTGTAAAAATTAGGTAATACGAATAACTGTGGTGAAGATAGCATAAATTAGGTCAAATATGAATTAATTATCTACTTATTTGAACAAGTCCATTTACGAAAAAATTAATTATCTATTTATATTATTAAATTCTTAGAGTAGATAAATTTCTGCTTATACTACACCTTTCTTGGAATCTTATTGATTATTTTATTGATTACTGCGTAGTATTTATATTTTTTCATATATTTTTATGCTAAAAAAATTTTAATTAAAAAGTTAAATCTAACATATTTTAATGCATATAATTGTGTAACAGACCAGCATTATATATTTTAATCATTATCATAAAATATAATACAGATATATACAATAGGTAATACAAATAACCGTGGCAAAGATAACATAAATTAAATCAATTATCTCCCTATTTGAACAAGTTCATTTATAAAAACGCTATTTAAAGGAACATTCAGTTCTCATCGATTTTGACTGTAAATTACAAAAATGACAAGAAACTGTTTAAAGCTATTAGCATTGTTGCTAAGATTCGCCTATACAGCTGTTATTATTTTTTCTTTTATTTTGATTTCTTTTGTCTTTACTACTTTAATTTTCGTATTTTGGATTTTTAATTTTCCACTCTTGATTTTTTCTTGTCTTGTTGTTGGATTTTCTATATTATTTAATAAAACCATTCACCCCAATGATAGAGAAACCAACAAAGAAAAATGTTCATCTGAACAAACATTTTTACAATATTTACACCATTTTTTTACTGAAATTATTGCTTTCTTTTTTACTGGGTTCAAACGCCATTTATATTCTTGCTTCAATACAATGATCTTTTTTTTATCTAAAAAGTTGGTTTCTCTGGTTCTAAAAATTATAAAAGAAGCATTTTATTTGACAATTATCTTAATTATATTATTGCTTTTATTTTACATCGAAAAATTATTTTTTTCTAGTCTTGACATTTTATCCATCGAATTTAGAATATTTTTCAGGAGATCAAGACATTTTATAGCCCATTTTATTATAATAAAAAAAATTCTATTATTATATTTTACGTTCAAATTTAAAATTCATGCAATTAAAGATGATAAAATTCAAGAAATTTATTTAATGCCTAATTATCATACCAAAAAAATAAAAGACATAGATGAACATTCGATGGAATTCTTAAGCAATCTTGCTGTTAAAGATATAAAAAGATCAGACCTTTCGATAGATTACTTAAATGATATCACCATTGAAGATGATAAAAAAAATTCTTTGATTGAATCATTTAATTACTATTTGGAGAAAGACCAAATTAATGATAAAAATTTGGATATAGATGTCTTAAAGATACAAAAATATTTAAATATGATTACCGAGCTACAAAACCCACCATCTCTATGTAATGAGATAAATGATTTACAACGAAAAAATTTAGCTGATCTGTTCAATCATATTCAGCATTTTAAGCGGTTTATCAAGGAATTCTTGAATAAAAACGATTACGATAACATTTGTATGAAAAAAATTAGGATAACTGTAATTAATCTTGAATTATTTTATATCCATCAAAGAAAAGTAATTATTGGTAATGAGACCTTTAGAAAAGCTATCGATAAAAAAAAAAAGGATTGATATAAAGTAAACAAACACTGGATAATAATTTTTGTATTTTTTATAAAAAAGACATCAATAGATATTGAGGTTCAGAAATAGGTTTTAGATGCTTCAAACAACTTCCGCTTTCCAAAGTAAACCGTTATCTATCCCCAAACTCAAACATTAAAATATTTATTTATTTTGTTACGAAATCAAATTGGCTAAATAACTGGCTAATTCTATACAACATTGTTTAGCTTGAGGGACATGCACTTATCTTCTATCATCTGCCCTTTCGTCAAAGAGCAACCGAATATTTGTGATCTAATAGAAAGTTAATCGAGCTATCGTTTATTCCAGTATAGAGGTTTATAACTAAAATGTAAATAATAAGTACAGTCTTTCATATTTAATTATATTATTATAAGTAGTAACATTCTTTTTCTTTAGGAACTTTATTCAGATTTTGCTATAAAATGACTCTTTCAAAAGGGTTATTTTTATAGCAATAATCCGAATATTTACGGCACAAGCCTAGTTTAGATGGCAAAGATCCAATTGACTTCCAGTTTATCATGAGTAATTCTCTGGTTTGACTTGACAATAATGGGCACTGATGACAATTGATAAGTTCATGTGTTTTTTTGTTGAAATTCTCTCTTAGGCTTTCAATATTGTGCACTAGCTTTATTTAGTCAATTTTATTTATTTATTCGAATTAGATCATCTTTTATCAATATTAAACCCTTTATTTTGAAAAATTTTTTACATTCACTATTATGAAAACTTATGCCAAAAAATTAATTAAAACTATAAAGTATATTATTTTGTATTTATATTTATAATAATAATAATAAAAAGTAATTTACATATTTATTTATAATGCGTCTATGATAAATAGATATTTATGCAACCATGTGACACCAGTTAAAACTACGGCTACTAACTCATAAATGCTCATAAATGTATTAACCTTTTTTCTTTTTTCTATTTTTTTCTTTTTTTTTTTTTTTGAAATGAGAAATATTTTTAATTAGCAAAAGTAGAATTTACAACAAAGTTATAATATTTTAGATTATGAACTATGAAAATTAGATAATATAACCAAATATTGGCTGCCTCCCCCAATTTCTGAAATTTCACCAAACTCTTTACATTTAAGTTCGAATGGTAATAATTCGTTATTCTTACTTCCATTTTCCAGAGCAGATGTTTCGCCAAAACCCCAAGTATACACTTTATTTTCATTATTAACAGCAATACAATGATGATCTCCAGTCGCAACGTATTTGCAATTATCATAATTATCATGATTAATTCGGACAGGAAACTTTCTGTTTTCTTCAGAAACACCAATGCCTAATTGTCCATATTTATTGCTGCCAAAACTATAAACATCACTATTTTTTAGAAGGACCAACATATGGTGAAGTCCTGCAGAAATTTGTTTTACACTAAATAAGTTTTTGAAGAATTCTAACTTAATTGGAGTTATAATAGGATTTGGTGATTCAATACCACACTGACCCTCTGCATTTTGACCCCATGTATACACCATTCCATCTTCATCAATTGCAAAACTGTGATTTCCTCCAGCAAAAATCTTTCTAATTCGATTGATCGATATTTTCCCAGGAATTAACATTAAACCATTGGGTTTACGAACTGATATTCTTCTTCCAAGCTGATAAGAATTCATGCATCCAAAAGTGTATAAATAACTATTTGTCATTAGAACTAATATGTGATTCTCTCCAACGGCAATATCAGCAATTTTTAAGTGAGAAGTAGGACCGTATTTCACGAATATTGATTGCTTATTAATTGCTGAGGTAAACCCTGTATTCCCATTATTATCCTTAAAAGTATTATTATAATAAAAAAATTAATCTTATGTAATTTTTGTAAATTTTAAAAAGATATCTACATACCCTAAATGTTCTGGTAGCATATAATTGACCTCTATCAGACAAAGCTAGCGTCATATTTGAACTACAAACGACTTTGACTATAACTACATCATCAAGACCTTGAACGTATGCCGGCACATTCTCGTCGGTTGCATTTGAATTTTCTTCACTTTTAGTAACTCTACCCAATGCACCTTTTTAAATGCATTAAAAATCAGTTTACATATTCTACACTACTTAATTTAATATTTATATATACATTCATACCTTCATCATTGCAACCCCAAGTGATGACCTAAAAAAATAATAATTTATTATAAATTAATAAATGTAAACTTTTGTTGTTAAATGTAAAATAAATTTTTTTTTTACTGTTCCATCTCGAGTTAGAGCTGCCACATGTAGACTTCCACAACTAATTTTCACAATATGAAAATCAGCTAGGCTTTCAACATGTCTAGGATATTTCATTTCTTCAACATCATTCCCTAAGCCAAGTTCACCACAATCGTTGCTGCTCATAACAAACAATTTTGTACGTTTTGAATCATGAGTAGGTACTTCGGGTATTTCTACATCGATTGTCTCATGTACTCTGTTTTGTTTTATTTTTTTTTAGAATCAATTTTCAAATTTAAGATAGTCTATTAGTTTTGTAGTAATAAAGTACGTATATAATACAGTCAGCTCTGGGATTTAATGTGCCTTTTTATAGTGACTGAACAACGAAAAATCGATATACTTTACATATAATAATATTGTATCTTTTTATTATAAAAACCGGTTTTCATAATATAACCGACAAATAATTTATACAGTATATTGTGCCTAATTTATTATATAAAAAATAAATTCAGTTCTGAACTTTATTGTATAATTAAAATTTTTATTTAGTTGCTTAATTAGGATGGAGTAAAATAATAGAACTGAGCATGTTCTAGTACGCGTACTAAGCCTCAAAATGCTGCACGATAATGCACATTTGCGAAAAATCTGGTCTTTGTTGTAAAAAAAATTTTTTGAATCAAAAAAAGATTTTTCTCTAACTGGTTTTTTTTTTGAATTAAAAATATAGATTATATATGTTGTGCGTCAAATGTATCCTTGCGTCGGATTAGATCCGACGCACGTCAGATGCTGATTTCCATGTGACGCACGTCGCCTGTCAATTGGCCATCTG